GCCTGCACCGGCATAGTGGCTCCGGACACCGGGGATCAAATCGGGTATCGGACACACAGGAGCTTTCTACCATCGTTCCAACATGTTACAACAGTGCCACCTCCGGCCTGCCATGCCGTGGTGTGCTGCAGCCTCATTCTTGTGCCCCTCACAACTTTGGAAAGCGGCTCCGACAGAGACTGCAGCAAAGCCGCAGCACGCGATCAGTTCGTGTTCTGCTGGCGCGAAGCGCATGACCGAAACGCGTGCTGCTTGGTTTAAGCAGACATCTGACCGCCTTCGGGCGTGGCGAGCTCCAACTGTCCAATACTGTCCAACACCCTCCAGTGGTAGTTTCCACAGGTCGAGAAAATGAACACGTGAGGCAATGAACACGTGAGGCATGGGCCACCCCAAACTGCAGCCCATGAGTTGCAAGAACAGAGGAGAGCCGCCTTGAGCCTGAGTTCGAAGCAAGACGCATGGACCACGGCTGTGACGAGCGCGGCATGCGTAGGGCAGCTCGGGGTGGAGCATTGCAGAATGCCGACGCAGTTCTGATGCTCTAGCCTCGGCCTGGGGCCCACGCCATTGTGCACTCCTGGGGCGACTGCCGATCGCAAGGAGGCTTTTTCTAGAATCTCGAATCTAGAAAAGTTTTGATTTGAATGCCCTGTCATACTTCAAACTCTTGGACATCAGGAAAGGGGGTCAGCAGGTGAAACGAACAACTGGACAATTGTTGTTGCAAATTAGCTGCTGTAGTGGCAAGCCTAACACGGTGCAGTCACTGCAAGAGCGTGAGACCAAAGAGATCTCGCATCATCTGCACCACTCGAATGCTAGAGCTGACCACATCCTAGCTTCCTGAACCCAGCTCTACGAAGGTAGAGCATGTCTCAAGCAACAGTTGAAACTTTGGATGTATCCCCTTCTACCTCGTCCATCACCAGGAGGGAAGTGGCGGAGACAATGGGGATCCCTACTGGCGAGTCGCGTCTTCTGGCAGAGGGAGAGAAGAGCGGGAAATGACTCACCGTTGTGACGGTAGGTCGTAGCTATCTAGAATCACAGGCGAAGTGATCCTCGCTGGATCCCTTTGTCAAGGATTCCCCATCCCGTCATCGGGGACTTCTAGAATCTAGATTCTAGAAGAAGAAATGGCCCCGAATCCTTTTATGTCTCTGCTTCTCTTTCGGAGGCAGCCCTCTGGCTGGTAGGTGCGGGTTTGCATTTTCGAGTCCACACTCAGGACTTTCAATGTCAGACGCCTCGCTCTTCGACCTCGGCGAGGCTGCTACTGCGAAAATAACAAAACCAAGATTGAGAGGAAGGCTTGTTTCTGACCTCTTCACTAATCTACTGCTTGTTGTCTGTGGTCGCGCTGAAAAGCCAATCGCTGTACTTGTTTAGGCAGGCGCACATACCCAACAGATGCATCAGCCCTGAAAGGTTTCTGCAGCGAGGTGACTGAGCGAAGTAGGTACGGGAAGTCGGCACAGGAGATCCCTTACTTCGAACAGGGGTAGGCTGATAGGCTGAGCATGAGTGTTGGGCACGGGGATCCCTGCCTGCATGGCTGCGACCAGTCGCTAGGGAAGAGAAAGCGGAAACCGCTTCAGAACTCGAGCAGGCAAGGGAAACCCAGGAAGGAGTCACAACCAAGAACCGCGGAAGGTGTTAGTTAGATGTGATTTCTGGCCAGTGCCTTGAATGTCAATGGTTGACTCTTGAATTTAGCAGGAGTAGCTACACCTGTTTCGACATCACCACATTATCCTTCACGTGCGATTTCCAGCGTCAGTCTTGTGAAGCCAGTCGCGGGAGCAGGCCTAATGACATGGGGAGCTTGCCCTGAGTGAGCGGTCGGAGTTTCGATGACCCGAACTGGCTATTCTGAACTATGTTCCTCGTGAGACTGAAGTGTCGCTGTCGTTCCGGCCACCGCCGCGGATACACATCATTGAAAGACTGCCGTGTGATCCGATGCCTGCCCTTGTAGGTCGCCAATAACGGTCAGGTCGTATTGGTCTGAGTTATGACAGTTTCTAACAGCGAGCCTTTGAAACTTTGTCGGAAGACTGTAGGCTGCAACTTGGCAAAGCTGCGAGGCCAAGCACTACCGCGCATGCTCTCGGTGGATGGCTGCCCAGCTCGGTGATGCAAACTTTCCTTGTTGAGTGTTAAATCTGAAGTGTTGTGGGCCACTAACAAAGCTTTAGTTGTTGACTTTTGCATTATGTATATCTACGGTGTATGTGTACGTTTAGTTCAGTAACTAAGTACATGCAAGTACTATATATATATACACATACATACACGCATACGTACGCGTTTGCATGTGCCGTGCGTGCTGCCGCAAGGCACAGCGTTTGCCTCCAGCAGTCTGCTGTCAAAGTGTGCGCACCTATGCCGCGCCGAGAAGCACAGCACCTGGAAAGTCTGTGGTTTGGGCTCTTCGGCTTCAACACTGCGAGACTTCCATTGTCGCAGTTCTGGTCATCTCTCTTTCGCCATCGGGTTTAATGGTCCTGATACTTGTAGCTTTATATGCTGAGCAAAACTCGTACCAAACAACATAATTCATATTGCCCGGAAGTGTCATGCAACCAGCATCCGTGTTTGTTTTCCGTGTCTCAGGCTCGGATGGCTGCGATGCCTGGCTGAAGTAGAACACTGCATTGCGATCTTGCCAATCTTCTTCCTCTCCACTGCTTTGTCGGTGGTTGTGGCTTGCCCGTGATTTCAGGACTGGGAAGCTGTTCAGCGCAGCGGTCTTCAGGCACCTTTGGTCCAACGTGCAAGCAATGCGTGGAATAGCAGCTCAAAAGCCAAACACCTTCCATATAAGAGTGCCGCTTGGAATCGTACTACTTCAACATATTTCTACTGTACTGCAGATTTCACTGCAGGGCTTCGTGCTTCAAAGGCCCTATGAAACAGTCGGCAGAAGGCTTCCCTCCACCGATCCCTTCGTGCCACGGGAGAGAGCGAGAGTGTCGCAGTCGCCTACCGGGGCAGGACGTGAGTTCACACCCAGCTCCAGTAGCAACTTCGAAAGATCAAGAAACTCGGCAACTGACTGTTCAGTCTGCACGGACTCCGCCCCTGTTGTCTCGAGGCCGGCGCCGGCCCGGTCCACGCGGCCCTTCGCCGAGCCCCTCTTTGCCTAGCTTTCGGCGCAGGACAGCGCAGCCAGGCAGTGACGCCGCCTGGGCCGAGTAATTTCATGCTCAGGAACACTAATCATCACTAATCATCTAGGCTGTGCGGTAGGGGGTTGAGTAGTCACTTGCATGATTCTTTTGAGAGGCCGAGGCGTCGATTGAACTAGTGAGTAAAGGTGTACATCGATTTCTTTTTTATACAAATGTATACAGGGGTGTGTGTGTGTGTATGTATATGGAGATGTATGTATATATATATAACATATACACATACACCCACATTCAGACACACGTGCTCAGGGACAACGTTTCTGCACATTTCCATAATGTTTACAGTGTTTTGGTATGAAGTAGCTTTCGTTATTATGAGGCCTTGTCCTGGCCACGGATCGGAGAGGTATCAAGTCAAAATCGCTCACGGGGTGCGTCAGCCTCCCTTTCCTCCAGGAAACCGCTCAAGGACCAAATGCAGCTAGCCTGAGCATTCCATGTTCACCGAAAGGGCAAACCGCATTCCATCCCGCTCCAACCCATTCAACGTCACCCGGGGCCCCCGATTTGCAGATCTGTATGTAGCCAGTAGCCTGCTCTAATTATGCAGAGTCCTTGCCTACCATGCCTCGTCATCGTCTGATTGTCGTCTTCCAACAATACCAAGTGACAGTTGTTCTGGAAGCAATTGTTACTGGAACGTACACTAAGTCGAAAATCTCCAGTCCTACTATAAGTACGTACTCTCGGCTTCAAAGTCGTATTATACATTCATGCGGCCCCTCATGTTGCTGTGCTGCTCATGATGGTGAGGATGGCCACCATGATGATGTCGATGCCCCTGGTTACTTCTACAGTCGTTCCGGTCAGAAGCGTAGAGACAGGTCCTCCTAGTCCTAGTCTGTGAACCCGAAGTCAAGTAAAGCATGAACCTGCATGAAAGCTTGCTCACCCCAACGGTGTGTCCAAGGTTAGCCAACAAGCTGTATTTCGTCAGCCGCTACGCGCCTCGAGCAGCTTCGGTGCGCATGATGAGGGTTGGATTAGTTGTGACTTTGATCGCGTGCTGTTGCTCAGATTTATGAGGGCTTGTCCCTTTTCGATCGCGACGAAGGTGATCGATGCCAGCGGGGCAAACTTTGTGGGAGATCGGTGGGCATCTCGTCCGCAAGTGTAGCTGTCGTTTACTTTGATTGTAGGATCCGGGTTGGGTCTCGGCTAGCTTTCCGATGCTCTGAGGATCTTCCTGGCGAGTGTGCCTCCGCAAACCTGCTGTTGATCGGATCCCCATCCGAGAATGCCTGGACTAGCCGCTGCTCGGGCAGCTAATTCCTGCAGTTCGTTCGAGAGGTGGATGCAAGGCTTGAGATCTACAGTGCAGTAGATTACTCGCTGACTGCTGTCTGCTGCAGTGAGTAAACCGAAGCCTATGCTGCTTGTGCTCAGAGGCAATGTCGATGCCCACTTTGCAGTCCTGCATCAGGTTTCTCTTGCGCCTTCCCTTATCTTCAATTTGCGCCCGCCGAGTCCAATGATGCAGGACATGTCAGAGCCTATGCTTCCACTACGGCACAGGTTTTGACTTAGCTTCTCCCAGACAGCAAAAGTTGCAAAGAAGGGAGCTTCCCACAGCGAAGCGTTCAGAGCGATGTTTCACTGCCCCAGTATGTGAACTGTATGTATGCAGGCAGCTTCCGTTCGTGACTTTCGCCTGTGCGTAGAGGACGATCCTTCATTCTGGATGGGACGTCCTACTCGGCCAATGGCACAGGATTGAACACTTACTCTTGTTTGCCAGCTGCTACTTCAACAATGGCTCGACATTCGCATACTTGTTGTATTTTGCCGGGAGCCAGGTCTTGCATGACCTGTACAGCGCAAGCAGATGTGCAATCAGTCGGAAAGCTTCATTCTGCAAGCCCTGCAGGCCTACTCGCTGTGGGCCCACTGCCCTCGCGGAAGCTCGCACTCCTCGTCCACGGCACAGATGAGAAAGGCCAGGAGAATGTGATTTTTGTTCATGGCATCAAGCTCTCAAAGCAAAGGGTGGAAGCAGTGAAACGGTTTTGATGGTCCAGCATGTTATGCCTCGGGCATTATGTTTCAGAAATCTCACATCACGAGTCGAGCCAACAATTGCCGTTCCTCTTGGACATACGGTCCCTACCTACCTGTCACCGGCACGCCCTCACACAGGTCTGGCGCAGGCTGTGGCAGCAGTGCCTGTGACCTCTGGACGCCACGGCCGGGATTGACAAGCGCGTCAAAGGGGACTCCGAACCGACTGGAACAACAGGTTTTCGTCTTGCTTTTCGAAGTCGAGGGCTGTTGCAGTTAAACAGGGATCGTGAGTTGGCACTGTGTCTGTGATGCTTCGGGGTATGGGGAACGTCAGAAGGTAGGGGGAAGGTTGGAAGCAAGAGTCTTCTGAAACGCTTGGAGCGGTGGAGTAGCTTTTTTAGGAGGCCTCAGTCGTGGAATCTATGGCGAGGCGCAGACTTCCTTGTTCTGGGCTCCTCTGCGGCCTGGAAAGGTGAGGGCGGCATCCTTGCGGCTGGGTATCGGCGGCTGCAATGAGAAGAGCGTGGCGTCTTTAGCGTCATACGCAGTTTAGGGTAGGGCGGCACAAGCTCTCTTTGAGATTTGATATGTCAGCAACGTTCGTCCAATCCGAGTTTTTCCTGAAGAGTCTGCCCCATGGGATTCCCTGCTTGTCGCTCGCCTGCTCGCATGAGGTACCTCACCCCGCTGTGGCAGATTTCGTCAAGTGGTTGGGCAGAGCCGGAGCACCCCTTTGAAGGAGGAGGAGGTGCCGTTGACACTGATTTGTGCCAATGTTGGTTTAGATAGAACACATCAGCTTCAGTTTCAAGCGGGTGCCCACTTTGCCAAATAAAGGACTTATGCTTGTTGCGCCCGACCCATCCTCTGCTCGGATCAAAGCTTTCCGTCCCTGTGTATATATCAATACTCAGCAAGGCCCGAAGTCGTGCACATTCTTCGCCCGGTTGGTTCCTCTAACATGTGCAGATGAAAACAGATTCCACACGACCTCTTTAGCAAGGCTTGGGCTCCACTGCCACACCTGCAGCTCACTGCTCCGTGGAAATGGAGGTGCCAGTGAGTCGTGCACTATCCGAGTGATTGGTGATTGGTAAGTGGGTCGCGCAGCTACTCCAGGCCATTACGAAGTCCGACATGGACCTGGAAGGCAAATGGCTTTAGGGTCAAGACAGCATCTTGGGCGTGTCGGGTCCTTTGCGGGTTTTTGTCGGTTGCATCTGGTACCACCTCAGCCAGGAAGCAGCTTACTTACCGACCTCAAAAGAAAGCACTGCACACATAATCCACACAGCCGTTGACGTCGCCCAATCACCCCGTCGCCAACCCCTAACTACGCTCATGGACGCAGCTCGCCCTACACTTCGTTTCTCTGTTGCTCCGCGTGTTTCGATAGCTGGAGCATAGGCTTTTGTTGTAGTCCATTATCGCATCTTTGTGCGGCTGGAATGGGGGAGCCCTGTAGCCTTACCCGTCGTGTGCAGCCGCACTGAGAGACCTCGTCTGGCTTGTCCGCGTTGCCAGAGCGTAGCTATGCTGACGGCAAAACAGAAAAAGCACTGCATACATAATCCGCGTTGCCACGGAAGTCACCGCCACCCCTGCGCTGAAGCACAAATCAGAACACTGCACACATAATCCCGAAGGCCATAGACGTCATCACCCCCCATCTCCACACCCACACACCCCGACAAACAGGTAAGAAGAAATACACGGCACACATCTAGACAGTTCCGGATGTGCAGCATGCTTCGCAGACAAAATGCACCCGAATTCCAAACAAACAAAGCACAACCGGAACCAACCACTGTCAATACCAATGCAAAAACCACTCCAATGTCAACATGCAGCAGTTTTTACAGGCACGCAAAGAAGTAAAGCTGCAAAAGCCACATTGCAAAAAAGTGCTTGCACTGCGATGTGCCAAGCGTGTCGGCATATCGCAAGCCTGAAATCGACACACCCGACCACAACCGCGACGACCACGGCCGCACCCCAGGATCATGACCACGATGACGATGACGACGACAATAACTGCGGAAAGGGCGAAGCCAGATATTATAGTTGTTTGCTCGAGTTCTCATGCCGCAGGTAGGTATGCGTATTAGTCTCATGATTTGGAAGGGGCATTCGGAGGCCTGAAAAGGCAGACACTTGCAAGGCATACCATGCCAATGTGACCATATCTGTATTCATGCATTCGAAGGAGTTCATAACTACCTCTGTCTCTATCTTTCGCTCTCGCTCTCTCTCGCTCTTTCTCTCCAGTAAGCTGGCCCTGCACCTGAAGCTTCTCAACACGCCTCACCTGGAGGGTCTCACGCATCTTTAAACCCTACACTCCACTCCTGCGGACCCAAGACCTCACCTGGACTGGCACTTGCATAGATCAGAGCATGGACGCTTGAATTGGACTTTTCGAAGGCAACTTTTGGCCCCGGAGCGGCGGTTCCGTGCAGCGGGTCGCCGCAGCGGTGGCTGCCGTTCCCCTCCTCACCGAGTTTTTGTGTTTAACAGGTCCGTTTTTGGTTGGTAGTGTAGGGTTCTTTACAGTCTAGGACCAAAAGAATCATGAGAGGTTGTGCGGTTCGGAGGAAAGGCAGCAGATCCCAATTACAGTGTGCCGTAGGCCGATGGATCGAGCGCTGATGGCTCATACCTAAGTTCTGGATGACGGCTACAATCATGGCCGATCACCGGATGATAGCAGTATGTACATTCAATCACAGAAGTTGGCAAAGTGTCGCCCAAACCAGCCAAGGCAGTAGATGGAAGATCAAGTCCACCAGTACTCGACAAGCTTCGTGGTTGCTGTCTGCTCAAACTTGCCTGAGGTGGCTGTGCTCGGCCATCTCTGAGATCACCGCCGGATTCCTGACTGGTGTATTCGCATAGTTCAAAAAACAAAGGCTTGGCAAGCCGCCAGCATCCTTTGACTCGGCCGGTGCTGCCTGCATGGGGGCCTTTTGCAAGATGAGCTTCTCGACAATGCTCGCTGCCGGGTGATAGGTGAACTTGTTTAGTAACGTAGCTGTTCGGCCTGTTTAGGCCGAAACGCCGTTTAGGAAGACGCAAAGCCTGAAATCTGTCCCCAGACGCCGAAAGCATTAAATGCTGCTTCGGCTGTTACTGCTGCTGTTCCTATTCGTTTTTTCTTCTGCTATTAGACTACAGCGGCGGCTGCTGCTGCTACCACTGCTACTGCTACTGCTACTGCTACTGCTACTGCTACTGCTACTGCTACTTCTACTGCTGCTGCCGCTGCTGCTGCTGCTGCTGCTGCTGCTGCTTCTGCTACTGCTCCTGTCTTCCTGCC